GTAAAAGTGGTTTTACAGTTTGGAGTACTTGAAATAGAGAATTCTTGTGTTATTTTTCATACAAACAACTGTGAACCTACTTTTGTCCCACTCTGTCTGAACAGAATTCTGAAGGAAAATATTGTTTTTACACTCAGTCTTTGCAAACCTGTAGCTTTTCCTGTTGTTGAACATTAGGAAAATGCCAACATTTTTTTACATATGGGTTAGGTCCATACTTTGGCCAAGAGTAGGAAAATAAAAAATTTTCTTAAAGCTTCTTTAGCATAGGTACACACATACATATACACAGACAATACACACAAACACACACACATACATACATATGTACATATATGTAATCTGTCTTGTGTAACCAGCACATGCTCTGACAAAATGCTTACTCTGTTGTTTGTATTGAGTGAAGAAAAAATTACACAGTACATTGTAGTTTCTATAAAATTAACTTATCTAGTTTGTTTAACTATGTCTGAACCTCCTTTATGATGATAATCACTGTTATGGTAGAGCTTTTCATTTTAATAGAGCAAGAAGTCATTATGTAGTGTTTGTGTCAAACAGTAAGTCATGTTTAGTCTTCAGCTGAATGGAATAAAGATATTAGAAAAAGTAGTGAGATATATAGTTAGTTATTGTGTGTTAATTGAGCACCTCTGTTTCTTGACAAAAAAGGCCAAGAGAAATGTAAGTGGATAGGACTGATTTCAGTTGCTAAGGCTTTACGTTTAAAGCAATATTTACTTAGATGTTTATGCAGATTCAGTTAAAAATAAAATATTCTGTTATTTTGCTTCTTTTATCTGAAGTTGGGTCCAGTGATTTTCAACCCCTTGGAGAGATCAAAAGGAACATCTCCAGATGCAGTTTATTTTGACGAGCAAATCAGTGTAAATAGATACCTTTTTTGAGATCATAATGTATATGTGGAAATAAAAGTTTGGAAGCAGACAAAATTTTAAGAATTCTACCTTTCCCATTTATTAGTTAAAAGGCTTTTGATAAGTTATTCCAAATCCCTGTTAAGTGGAGGTGATACTTAGCTTTGTTTTGAGGATACTGTTAAACCAGATAATAGAATTTAAATGCTCAGTAACGTTTTCTCCTTTCCCCTCTTACTCTGGGAGTTTTTGGTATTTCATACCCACTGTGGTAAATGAAGAATTTTTATATATTGTGTCAAGGATTGTTTTCTTCTCTTTCAAAATAAACTTTAAATTAAATCAATTTCACTGAACAGGCAAGTGCATAAATCACAAAGCTGTATAAAGTGAACACACCTGTAGTCAGTGCCCAGCTCAAGGAACAAATAGTGACCCCTCCCAGGCACTACCCCCATACTGACTTGATTACCTTTACTTATTTTTCACTTTATATAATGGAAATCATATAGTATGATTTTGTGTTGGGCTTTTGTGTTGCATTTCTTTCACTTAACATTTTTAGTTTGTGAGATTCATTCAATGTTGTATCTAATATTATATGAATGTCAGTATTTATTTACTTGTCATAATGTTGATGAACATTGGGCTTGTTTGCTGTTTTATTAAGAAAGTGCAGTTCTGAACCTTCTTGTGCGTGTTTTTTGTTGAATATATGTACATATTTCAATTGGGTATACACTTAGGAATGGAATTACTCGGGATGTATGGTATGTGGTATGTTCAGCTGTAGCAGATACTTCCAGTTTACAACTCGATCAGCAGTTCTCTAGGATAAAAAAAAAATCAGTCTTGGCTGCTGTGGCTCAGTGGTTGGAGTGTCAGCCCGTAAACCAAAGGGTCTTGGGCTTGATTCCTGGTCAGGAGGAAGTACCCTGGCCCTATCAGGATGCATGTAAGCAGGTTCTCTAGGCTCCACATTCTCCCCACACTTGGTCTTGTTGGTCTTCATTTTAGCTATTCTAATGGGTGTATGGTAGTAGCTCATTCTTGTTTAATTTGTATTACTCTGACTGCTTATGAAATTTATTGACTATTTTGATATCCTGTGCTGTGAAGTCCTTTTTGCCCACTCAATTTGCTTGTCTGCCTTGTGCTTATTGATTTGTAGGAGTTTTTTTTATATATTCTACTCTGGCTTGCTTTTTCACTCTCTTAATCAGATCATTTAATGAACACAAGTTGTAAATTTAATGTAGTCCAGGTTGTCAATTTCTTTTTCCCCTTTATGATTAGTGCTTTTTATATCTTGTCTAAGGAATTTCTACTTATTCCAAGGACATGAAGGTATTCGCCTATCTTTTTTTCCCTAATAACGTTATTGTTTGATTTCGTGCATTTAGATACATAAATCTACCTGGCATTGATTTTTGTGTGTGATGTGAGGCAGGAGTCAAGATTCACTTTTTCCATCTGGATAAACAATCTAATTTTTATTTGGAAGGACTGTTCTTTTCCCTTCTGTACTACAGTATTGTCTTTATCATTAATAAAGTAAACTTATGTGGGTCTGTTGCCACATATTATTGTTTCATTGTCTATTCTTGTGCCAGCACCCACACTATCTTAATTACTGTAGTTTTATTGTAGGTCCTGATAAAGTGATTGATTTTTGTTGTTAATCCTCACCAGAGGATATTTTTTTCATTGATTTTTAGAGATGCGGGGGTGGGGGGACATCGATGTGACAGAGACACATCCATTGGTTGCCTCCTGCATGCACCCTGATAGGGCCAGGGTACTTCCTCCTGACCAGGAATCAAGCCCAAGACCCTTTGGTTTACGGGCTGATGCTCCAACCACTGAGCCACACCAGCCAAGACTGATATATTTTTTTTTATCCTCATCCGAGGACATTTTTCCATTTTTTTTGTTCAGATAGAGTGGAAGGGAGAGAGAGGAAGAGAGAGAACCCAGGTCTCTCTGGACTGCAGGCCGACGTGCTAACGTCGGCTGAACCAAACTGGCCATTTTCCTTTTTTATATTTCTGGTTTCAGTTTGGTAGGATTTTGTTTAGGATTTTTATGTTTTTTGTTTGAGAGATAGGTCTGTAATTTTACTATCCTTGTAAGGTTTTTGTGTCAAGTTTATGCTGGTCTCATAGGAAGAGTTGGGAAGTAGTCTCTCTTTTTTCTGTCCTGAAGAGTTAGTTTTGAAGATTGGAGTTATTTAAATATTTAGAAGAATCACAAGTGAAGCCATCTGGGCTTGGAGTTTTTAATAATCAAATTTTATAATTCATTTTCTTTAAAAGGTATAGGCCTCTTCAGATTTTCTGTTTCTTCAGATGTTAACTTTGGTAAATTGTGTTTTTTCAAAGAATTTGTCCACTTCATCTAAAGTATTTCCTTGAGTGGCCACTAGGAAGTAATTGATACTAAAAATAATCAGATAAAACTGCTCCATTTGGAAAAATTACAACTTTTTAATAGATCATTATGTAATATAAAGAATACTCTTTGTTGTGTGTATAGAAGAATAGATAGTGGTTAATGCTACTTATTTTAGGTTTTTTAATACTCTTAGGAGTTAGGCACAAGTGTGATTTATGTAAACAAAGTTAGTTCCTTGAAAACTAATGATACTCAAAAGCTCTTGGTAGCTCACTTGGTTAGAGCATCATCTGGATACACCAAGGTTGGTGGTTTGATCCCTGGCCTGGGCATATATAAGAATCAACCAATGAATGCAAAATAAGTGGAACATAAATTAATCTCTCTCTTTCTTTGTCTCTCAAATCGATAAATTAAAGAATTTTTAATAAGAAGCTATTGATTGGTATGTGAAATCTGTAATTAGATTGGAAGCTAAATTTCTAATTTTTGACCAAAATTCACGATGGATTAATCCAACCAGTGAATGATAATTTAACGTATCCTTAAGTGTTCTTTGTTTCTAAGTAATAGTGAACATAATAATAAGTCAAGTATAAAATAGGAGTATCTTAAAAATGTTTTGTGAAAGGGACTGTGAGTATTCAAATGGCTTCAACTTCCTCCCTCCAGTACATACAATTCTTTTTCCACATCCCCCATCTCATTTTAGTGATTTGCACATTTCACTTGGCTAATGAACTAAATGTATGTGTTGTGGATTATGTAGGGGAGCAAGAGAGCCTGGGGCCCGATGTCTTTGTGCATCTCATTGTAGAAATGAGCTGAGTCAGAGGTGAGGTCATGAGCCCAAGGCTTTGCAGGTAACAAATGGATTCAAGCACGACTCTTCCTTTCCTCTCATCTGTATTTGTTCTGTAATGTATTGGGTTTAATTGTAATATAGCTGAGTGAAAGAAGAGTTGTTAGCTTGAGGAGGCTGCATTTATTCTGATGCTGCTGTCCCCCCCCCCCCCCCCCCCCAGAATTCCTGACTTCCTGTAATGGAGGGTTTAGAAATTTTTTATTTTTTGTTGTTTTGTTTTGTTTTGATCCTCACCCGAGGGCATTTTTCCATTTTTTTTGTTCAGATAGAGCGGGAGGGAGAGAGAGGAAGAGAGAGAGAGAGAAACATCGATGTGAAGGGACACATCGAGTGGCTACCACCCGCACAACCAACCAGGGCCGGGGACAAACTGCAACCGAGGTACGTGCCCTTAGCGGGAACCGAACCCGGGTCTCTCTGTACCGCAGGCCAACGCTCCAACTGCTGCACCAAACCAGCCAGGGCAGAAATTTTTTATTTTTAATTGTATTTAGCAGTAGTGAATCTTCATCTTTCTTTTTTAGATTAATTTAATTCTGGAATCACCCAGAGTTCCCTTGGCAGCTGAGTTGGTCCTCCAAATGGAAACACAACAGGCAGGCAAGGATAGAGAATCAGAGCTAGAGATGGGGCATGAACGGTCCTGGTTCTAACATGGTGTGGGTAGGTGGGTGGGTGGTCGTGCTTGACAAGGGACTTTCAGTGCACAAATAGGGACAGTTCCAGGCAAACCAGTATGAGTAGAGGTGATGTTTGTAACAGGAAAAGGAATGTCTGCTCTGAAGGAAAGCGTTAGAGTTCAGGAGTCTCTCCTTTTTGTGTTTAGATATCCTTGTCTACCTCAGGTCCTTGGATTCAGAGTCAGTTGTTCTTGGGCTGAGGTTGACCAGGTGAGAACCCTTGGTATATACCGAGAATAGAAAAGCAAAGGCCCAAGTCTTGCTAAAGCTGACAGGACAAGGTTCAAATCCCCGCAGAGCCATACAGAAAGGCCTTAATGATCTAATTCCTGCTTGTCTTACAGTTTCATTGTGTCACCAGTCTCCCGTGTACAGGTGCTCCAACATGCTGCTGCTGGAATTTCTTCCACCTGACCTGCAGGGCGTCTCACCCCATGATGCCCTGTACTCTCCCTTCCTGACCAGTGCTGTCATTACTCATTCTGTAAAATCGAACTGCAGTCCAGGTCTCACCTTCTCCATGGTACAGATTTGTGTTAGGGATGTTTTGCTCAGTAAACATTTGTTGAATGAATGAATAATTAAGGGGGCAGGAGGTAAAACAAGGGTTTTTAGGTGAGGAAACTCACCTTAAATATTACTTTTTATACTGCTCTGAAATGAACTGGGGTAAGTTCTGTTTTTCTATCTTCTACTGATAGCCAGATACTGATTTATCAGTATTTAGTAGAGTTTTGTTTTTAACTTTATGTTTTAAAATAATTCAAACTTACAGAGTTGTAGGACTAGAATTCCATACATTTACCAACAGTAACAATTTGCTGCATTTGCATTACGGGCCATGCACTCTTTACTACTAAAAAGTTGAGGTATATTTTCTAAGAACAAGAATATTCTGTTACAGAATCACAATTCAGTTATTCAATTCAGAGAATTTAACATTGATGATATTTAAATTTTACCAGTGTTCCTATAGGGGAGGGAAAGTAACTTCCCTCTATGTTCTAGCTCAGTGGATGGGGGCCGAATTAAACTTACAGGGGACAGATTAACTAGAGAAAGGGTTTGTTTTTCATGAACACAGGAGACTCATAGGAATAAGTGAAAACCCAAAGATGTGATTGGGCTTGAGAGCTCATATGCCATTTTAATAAAGGGTGATTATCACCATTTAATAAAGGGTGATAAAGGGTGGAGCCATGATAAGACAAAGAGAAAGGAGTTTGGGCTTCTAGGGGTGGTAAATTGTGGCAAGTAAATATGAGGGAAAGAAACTAAGAGAAGGGAAGGGTTATTTCAGTAAGGGTTGTTTATGCAGGTTCAAGTCCCAGGGTCTCCATTGGTCAGAGTCATCTCTTTCTGGTGCTGGAGTGGGGTAAGGGGACATCTTCACAAGGGGAAATTTATGGCCTGCTTTTAGGCAGAAAGGGGGAGGGCGGAGACTTCCTCCTGTGTCTCCTGCTGCTCTCTTGCCTTCCGCTCACAATACTCGTATGCCAAAGTGATGTATTTTGAAGTAGTGTATTCTGATCCCTCTTCGTCCTAATTATGTCCTTGATAACAATCTTCCTTCCCTAATATGAGAATCAGCCCAGAAATGTACTTTGTGTTTAGTTGTCATGCTTCTTTACTCTTTTAATCTCATAGTTTCTCACCTTTTATCTTTTATGATGCTGACATTTTTGAAGAGCACAGCCAGTTTTGTAAACTGACTCTCAACAGTGTGTGATGGCAGGGGTGAGGAAGTGGGGGAAAGAGCACATAGAGGGGATAAATGGTGATGGGGAAAAAAGAATCTCAGATTTCCTTTTCATGTTTCCTGATGATTAGATTAGATTTGAGTTTTGCACTTTTAGCAGGAAAACTACATAAATTATTTTTTTCAGTTCTTCACATTAGGAAATACATATTATCAGGTGGTCCCAATATTGGTGATGTTAACTTTGTCACTTGGGTTAAGTTAAAGTGGTATCTGTTGGTTTTTTCCAGTGAAAAGTTTCAGTTTCCATGTCAAATAGATGATCTGTGCAGAGCTACTTTGAGATGATTGTAAATATTCTTTCTTAACCATCACCAATAGTTTTAGTATCCATTAATGATTCTTAAAAAAATGTCTTCTTTATTGATTTTAGAGAGGAAGGGAAAGGAAGAGAGAGATAGAAACATTGATGAGAGAGAACATCGATTGGCCACCTCCTGCACGCCCCCCACTGGGGATTTGGCCCACAACCTGGGCACGTGCCCTGACTGGGAATCGAACTGGCAACCTCTTAGTGCATGGGTCGATGCTCAACCACTGAGCCACACCAGCTGGGCCATTAGTGATTCTTGCTTCACTTTTAGTAATGTGATGGTTAAAAATGGTGATTTTCTTTTCTGTTATTCCTTCTACACTTATTAGTTGACATTGAGTAGAGTTTTATCTGGGTTTTAAACCTAATAAAATACAGTTTCTAAAATGAAAAATTAATGAGAAGTATTATTTGAGTCTTTGGGTTTTCCCAGTTGTACTTGAAACTGCAGAGCTGTAAATTGTTGTGGAGACATTTTCAAGGTCAGTGTCAGATCAGGTTACATTAATGTAAGAGACAGGTTTATAGTGGTTGGGAGTTAACCCAGCAGGTCTAGGATGGGAGGGTGAATATAGCTGTATGATGTCAAAATTGCCATTGTACAGATTGATACCTCTCTAGCTTTATTACTCTCAGGTTAGCCCTGAACTTTTCTCTGTAGAAGCAGTGGCAAGGATGGGGGCATTAAACTTATTAAACTAATTTGGTCATTTAAAGTCTTTAAAACATAATAAGTATCTAAATTGAAATTATCTTTGACCTACAAAGATACATGTCAATTTAAGTTTAGATGAAGTTTATTATCAACAGAGTTAATTAATGAAAATATGTTTATGGATATTTCCAGCTTTTCTTGAATTTGGTGTAATCAAGTATGAGATTAGCTTTAGTTTCAAAGATTTAACAGATTTGGGGTGGAGGGTTTAGCAATGGCAGTAACATTTAATTAGGAACGGAGATGCAATGAAGCCCTCATTTGGATGGTATGGATAGCCCATGTGTGCTGGGTGGGAGGTGGAGTCAAATGAAAGCAGTTCTAAGGGAAAGCTTGGAGGTGGGGCCCCAGAAGGGGATGCAGGTGTTACGGCGTTCTAGGGAAAGCAGAGAACATGGGTGCTTGCTCATATTGCACACAGCACTGATGTGCTTTACTCCTTCCCTGGAACTTTTTTTTTATCCTCACCCGAGGACATTTTTCTTTTCCAGATAGAGTGGGAGGGAGAGAGAGAGAGAAAAACATCTACGTGAAAGGGACACATCGAGTGGCTGCCACCCGCATGACCCAACCAGGGCCGGGGACAAACTGCAACCGAGGTACATGCCCTTAGCAGGAACCGAACCCGGGTCTCTCTGGACCGCAGGCTGACGCTCTAACCGCTGAGCCAAACCAGCCAGGACCCCTGGAACTTTTAAAACTTTTAATATGTTTTCATTCCTGATTAAACATTCATCATACTCACCAGTTTCTTAGGCTCATTTTGTTTCAGGACCGGACCTCTTATTAATATTAAAATATCCATGTTGCCCTGGCTGGTGTGGCTCAGTTGGTTGGGCATCATCCTGGGGATTATCCTGTGTATCGAAAGGTTGCCATTGATTTCCGGTCAGGGTACATGCCTGAGTTGCAGGCTTAGCCCCTGTAGGCGGCATGCAGGAGGAGGCAGCCAGTGGATGTTTCCTCTTTGATGTTTCTCTCTATCCCTCTCCTTCTAAAATAATGAATGAATGAATGAATGAATGAATGAATGAATGAATGAATGAAATGTCCATGTTATATTGTGTTAAGATCGCTTAACATAGAAAATTGTGGCCCTTTTTTCCTCATGGGTGCTCTTATGTGGTATAAAAGATAAGCAGAAGGTGTCAGGGATTGAATGCATACAGCTCTAGCACTTGTTGAACAATGTTTTTATTGGGTCAAGTACAGAAACTTGGAATCAAACATTAACCTTAAAACACACCTTGAAAGCTAATGGTGTGTTAATTATTTACCTGTCTTGAAACAAAACTGCAGGATAAATGTCATTATAGGTAACGAATGGGAAGGGCAGGTATCTGTGCCATTTTGATGAGTTGGAATGTTCTTTTTCAGAAGTATTATAAGAAAGTGGGCCATTGGCTGGCAGCCTAGAGATACTTTTTACAGTGATACCTCGGTTCTCGAACGCCTCGGTTTTCGACCAAATGGAGATTCGAGAAACTTTTGTCTCGGAATCCGAACAAATATTTGGAACTCGAACTTCCGAGATGAGCCGAGTTGAGCCGAATGGCGTTCATTCGGCCCAGCGCGCCTTGCTTGCGTCATCAGTGTGAGTGCAGAGAGAGAGTCACACTGTGTGGAGTCACGCTTTCCTATTGGTTTCATTGCTTCGGTTCTCGAACAATTCGGTTCTCGACCGTCCTCCTGGAACGAATTATGTTCGAGAACCGAGGTATCACTGTATATGGAAATTTTGATAGATAGAATTTGTTAAAATCTTGCTTGACCTGCATTCAAATTCAATTTTGGACAAATCTAATTTTAGGCATAATTACGTTGCAATGTAAACATAATATATTTTTGTTACAGATTTAGAAAAACTTAGAAATTTGTTTGGTTCATAGAGGAGTGCAAGAAAAGAAGGCTATTGAATTTGTGGCTTAAGTTATAGAAATGGGAGTAAAATTTACCATAGTTACTGACTTTGAAGGGAGAAGTTTTTCTTTTCCAGTACCTAAAACAGAATCATATATCTCTAAACTATTGTCTTTGTACAAATCATTCTCAGTTTGAAAGTTTGTTTTCCAGTTCTAAAAGTAATAAAGTTTTCAAATTTTAGGTAATTGTATGTTATTATTATTTTTTAATGTTTATTGGTTTTAGAGAGAGAGAACATCATTGTGAGAGAGAAACATCACTTGCCTCCCATATGTACCCTGACCAGGGTGACCAGGATGAAACCTGAAACCTAGGTATGTGCCCTGCTGGGAATCAAACCAGCAACCTTTGGGTACATGGGATGAGACTCAAACAAACTGAGCCACACAGGCCAGGGCATCAAATTGTAGGGAATTTTATTTATGTGTTTTTAATCCTCACCCCAGGATGTTTTTCTATTTATCTTCAGACAGAGTGGGAAGGATGGGGTGGGAAGAGAGAGAGAGAAACATTGACTTTAGAGGGACACATCAATTGGTTGCCTCCCCCATGACCCCAACAACCAGGGCTGGGGATGAACCCACGACTCTTTGGTCTGGGGGCCAATACTCCAACCACTGAGCCAAACCGGCCAGGGAAAATTGTAGGGAATTTTAAAATACAGAAAAGTTTTAAGGAAAAGAAATTACTCCTGGTAGTAATCACATCCTCAATTTTTTTTTTTTTAAACATCAAAAATTTTTTTTTTTCTTTATTGATTTTTAGAGAGGAAGGGAGAGGGAGAGAGAGATAGAAACATCGATGAGAGAGAGC